CATTTATATAACTGGTTCCTAATATTAATACAGTGAGTGCGAGTTGCAGACACATATTCTCTCACACATAAGTACATGTACATCTATGTGTGTAGACACACATACACAATCTCTTCTAACCTGCCCTGTATCCCAGGATCTGATCCCATATTATATGGTAATGAAGACTCATATAATCCAGTTCAATGCAGATAATCTGGGATCAGATCCTGGGATTTTGGGCTGTGTTGATTCAGCCATACATACATACACAGTCACACACACACACAGTGGACTTTTAGTTAACTGGAATTCAAGCAACCGGAACTCCGAAGCAATTGACAAAAGCTTATTGACTGCCATTTGACTAAAACAGCATACTGCATTTACATGGCTATTTTTACAATACAGTAAAACTTTGTTTGGTTTTTTTTTTGGTCTTAATTTGCTTTTAATTACTGTATTCCAATATTAATATCAAGTTAATACAGAGTTTATAGTACAGTATGGTATTGGTATGGTATGAGTTAGGCAACTAGAAATGACATTTACCCAACATCTGCCAATCCCTGGTTAACAAAGTTTTTGAAGTTGTGTGTACACATGCACCCACCAACACAACTAATTAATAGGATTGATAATATGGTGAGGTAGTTAGACATAGATTCACACATACATACACATATATATAATTCTCTTTTTCCTAGTATTCTTAATATTAATGCATTGGGAGTTAAATAACACACATTTTTTCTCTGATATATATGTGTGTAAATACACACACACACCTATCTATACAAGTCAAAATATGTTGACTTGTTTGTACCACAAAGGTTCCTGCATGGCTTGAAACATATATCCTTCATTGTCCATCTTTAAAAAATGGAGTGTTGAATTAAAAACCCTTCATTTTGGGCTCAGATCAAAGGGAAGGAAAAAGATCCAGGTAGATTGGCTGCTGCTAGGTCATGTGTGTATGAGGGAATGGAGGAAGGAAGGAAAGATAAAAAGGAGGGAAAGAAGGGAAGGAGAAGAAAAACGGAGGGACAGGAGGTAAGAGGAAGGAGAAAAGAAAGAATGAAGGGGGAGGGATGGAAGGAAAAGAAGGGAAGGGGAAAGAAGGAAGACAAGAAAAGGAAAGTGTATGAGGGAAAGTAAGTAAAGAAAAAGAGGGAAGGAGAAGGGTATGAAGAAAAAGAGAAGAAGAATCACAAACTGCAAATCCAGAGAACACTAGATATACACACTACAGAAATACTAAGGCCTCTTCCACGCAGCTGCATAAAATCCACATGGAACTGGATTATATGGCAGTATGGACTCAGATAAACCAGTTCAAAGCTGATATTGTGTATGCCTTGATACTCTTGAGTTATATGGCAGTGTTGAAAGGCCCTCAGGGAGACAAATATATTTACTACTAGTTTCTAGTTTTGATACAACATGTGTGAGAGTTACGTGTACACAGTAGATACATACACACTTGGAGACTGACAGACAAATATAGAAAGCAGAGCAAAGACCTACAGATTGAGGCCTAAGTCCCTTGAGGTTCCCTGAGGAGCCACTCTGACCAGAGGGATTGTTCGCACCGTAAATATCTCAACGTCACCTTAGAACAAACACCAACATTTAGGAAACACTGTATGAACACTAAACACAAAGCAGCTGCATGCAATAACAACCTATGGAAACTTAACAGGCAGTGCATAGGATGCAGACCCAAAACCGATAAGAACATCAGCCCTGGCCTTGTCTTACTCAACTCCCGAGTATGCCTACCCCGTCTAGGATAAGTCTGCCCATGCGAAGCAGGTGAATATAGCATGTAGACCAGTGGTTCTCAAAGAGAGAAGTGGAAAGAGATCTTGAGTGGATTTATGTATGGGAGGCCTAGATGAGTGGTTTTCAACCTGTGGGTTCCCAGGTGTTTTGGTCTACAACTCCCAGAAATCCCAGCCAATTTACCAGCTGTTATGATTTCTGGGAGTTGAAGGGCAAAAACATCTGGGGACCCACAGGTTGAGAACCACTGGTGTAGAATCATCACAAGATGTCTCAAATCTACACCTGTTGAAAGACTCTATAACAGTGGTTCTCAACCTGGGGTCCCCAGATGTTTTTGGCCTTCAACTCCCAGAAATCCTAACAGCTGGTAAACTGGCTGGGATTTCTGGGAGTTGTAGGCCAAAAACACCTGGGGACCACAGGTTGAGAACTACTGCTCTATAAGCTAGCTAGCATTGCCCCCCACCCCCAATGTCCCAGAATGGAAGTTGCTGCCAATTGCAAGAGAAATAACAAAATATGCTTATCAGCCTCCTCCCAGTAGGCTCAAATCAAGGAAAATCAAGTACCACAACATCCCTCTTAAAGGCTATGTAAATCCATAAAGAAGATACTACAGCTTTTCAAAAGTCGACTTTGTTTGGTGGAAATTTAGATCATCCCATGCTTAGCCTAAGACAGTTTGCTGCTTGGGACAGACACAACAGCAAATGTCTTCTCCTCAAGGCCAAGGAAAAGTTTCACAAGAAACACCACTCCTCTAAATGTTTCCCTAGCAACAGCAAGAATATCCCTGTGGGCAGCCAAACCAGGAAATCCCAGGATTTTCCTCCAAGGGCAAAACAAGAATGGGCAACTTGGAAGTCCATGGACACACTCAGAAGTGGCGTGGGCAGATCAAAAGATAACCTGGCAAAATGGAACTACAGTGGGTACAGTGTCAGGAGTGACTCCTGGTGTGAGAGAATTGGCCGTCTGCAAGGACGTTGCCCAGGGGACGCCTGGATGATTTGATGTTTTTATCATCCTTGTGGGAGGCTTCTCTCATGTCCCCGCACGAGGAGCTGGAGCTGATAGAGGAAGCTCATCCGCCTCTCCCCGGATTCGAACCTGCGACCTGTCGGTCTTTAGTCCTGCCAGCACAGGGGTTTAACCCACTGCGCCACCAGGGGCTCCACATCAATTTATAATAATTTTCTTTAACACGTATCGATAAATTCTTTAAATATCTTTGATCCCATAATTGTACCCAATCCACTTCTTTTATTCTAATCCCTAGATCTTCCTCCCATATCTCTCTTAATGTTGCATCCTTTATTTTCCCCTTAATATCAATTATTATCTTATACAATTTGCTGGTTATTCCTTTCAACTTGTGGTATCCTCCCGTAGCTCTTCCGTTTTGTATAATTTGTTCAACTTGCGTGAATTTGCCTCCTTCCCCATTATTTTTAATCCAATTCTTGAACCATTGCTCTAACTGTAAGCAATGGAACCAAGAGAGTTTAATATCTCTAAATTCTCTCAATATAGTTTCTTTCCTCATGTTTGCTTTTAAAAAACAGATTTATTTGTCGTGTCAGGGCAACCAGTCAATTATATTACATTTCTAACAGAACAAAGCAAACAAACAGACAAAATACAAAATTTCTGAGTTTGGTAGTTGATTAAATGTCCTTTGACCAGTATCTGGCCACTTGGAGTGCTTCTGGTGTTGCCGCAAGGAGGTCCTCCATGGTGCATGTGGCAGGGCTCAGGTGGCATTGCAGCAGGTGGTCAGTGGTTTGCTCTTCTTCACACTCGCATGTCGAGGATTCCACTTTGTAGCCCCATTTCTGAAGGTTGGCTCTGCATCTTGTGGTGCCAGAGCGCAGTCGGTTCAGCGCCTTCCAAGTCGCCCAGTCCTCTGTGTGCCCAGGGGGGAGTCTCTCATTTGGTATCAGCCATTGGTTGAAGTGCTGGGTTTGAGCCTGCCACAGACATCTCCAGCTCATCCCCTGTTTGGGTATCAGCCAGCACGTCAACGACTTAAATCAAGACATAGATTTCTTAGATCTACAGAGACACTCGCTGGAACACCTCAGCAAGCGAGAGTCCAAAAGTGGCAGGCCAAACCCAGCACCTCAATCCGTGGGGCGATACCAGATGAGAGACTCCCCCCTGGGCACACAGAAGACTGGGCGACTTGGAAGGCGCTGAACAGACTGCGCTCTGGCACCACGAGATGCAGAGCCAATATTAAGAAATGGGGCTACAAGTGGAATCCACGGCATGCGAGTGTGGAGAAGAGCAAACCACTGACCACCTGCTGCAATGCACCCTGAGCCCTGCCACATGCACAATGGAGGACCTTCTTGCGGCAACACCAGAGGCACTCCAAGTGGCCAGATACTGGTCAAAGGACATTTAATCAACTACCAAATTTGCAAAATCTGTGTTTTTTCCCTTTTTCTTTTTAATCTGTGTGTTTGTTTTGCTCTGTTAGAATTGTAATACAATGGTTGCTGACGGCACGATAAAAAAAAGCCATTGGTTGAGGTTCTGGGTTTGAGCCTGTCACTTTTGGACTCTTGCTTGCTGAGGTGTTCCAGCGAGTGTCTCTGTAGATCTTAGAAAACTACTTCTAGATATAACATATTAGATAAAAAATATTACATATAACATATTAGATAAAAAATTAAGAGAGAAGAATATAGATTTTTAAAAGCGGCCTTTTCCTTAATTGGGAGAGGGGGGAAAGGAAAGAGGCTGAGACTGTGAGGAATTGTGGGAGTTGGGAGTCCAAAACACCTGAAGGCCCCAAATTTGCCCAAGAATCCTTGTGGAGCAGAACAAATCACTCCGCATCTGGATGCTTGCCCTCAAACCAGAGGGAGGCTGTACAGAAGGGAGCCCGAAGAACCTGCGTCTCAGCCTATCAACGTCAGGGATTGCTTTCACCCAATCGGAAACAGCCCTCCGCTATTAGCCAATCATAAACCAGAGAAGCGTCTCTCCTCGAATCCACTTCCCAGGCCCCTTTCGGTATGCTAATCCGCCGCTTGCCTTCAATGGCATCGGGTGGCAGGAGGGAATGTAGAAAAGAGGCGGGGCCTCGCCTGAGTGACAAGCGCCGCTGGCCACTCAGCGAGGGGCTTCCGTCTCCGCCCAGCCACTGAGCGTGGAGTCACGTGCCGCAGCCTTTGCGAGCGGCGCCGTTGCCAGGGCCCTCCCCCGTCGCTAAGGAGGAAGGGGGGCGTGGAAACGGAAGTGGAGTTCGCCGGGGTCAGAGGCCGGCTGTGTTGATGTTGACACTAGGCCGGAGCTGTGGAGTAGTAGTAGGCGCCGCCGCCGCCGGGACGCCGCAGAAGGCCCGAAAAGCTGTCGTGAGGGAAGAACGAGGCGGCGGCGGCGGCGGCGGCGAGAGTTTGCGGAAGCAAGGCCGGCTGGGACAGCGTCGCGTCTTGGGGGCTGACGGGGCCCGCTCCCTCTTTTGACCCGCCTGGCGGGGGGCGCGATGCGGTTGTGATTGGGCCTGTCATCCGGGCATTCCTTCCCTTCCTCCAAGAAGTGGTTCCTCAGCGGGCCCTCCATCCGGGTCCCGGGCCTCTCCATCCGGGTCCCCGCTCTCCATCCCAGCGGAGGGGAGAGGGCCTCTTTCGCCCCTCTCCTCCAGAATCCCCAAACTCCCTTCCATACGGGTATTTCCTTCCTCCCTCATCTCCTCCTCCTGCATCCCCAGTGCCTTTGGGTTAACTGTCATTGCTTAGCCTCTCCATCCGGGGACTTGTTCCCCTCACGCGCGGCTCGGGATTCCTCTGCTTCCCCCCTCCCTCGGTTGCCATGACGATCCTGCCCAAGAAGAAGGCCTGCCCGGCCGCCGGCGACGGAGACCGCGACCAGCCGGGCTCCCGAGGGGGCAGCCAGGGCGGGCCTGGGGGACCCGGCGGCGTCGGTGGCCCGGACCCGCGGGGCTGCTCCGGCGCGGACTCCCACCCTCGAGGCCCCAGCGGCGTAGGCGTCGGCGGCGGAGGCGTCGGCGGGCCCGGGGAGCGCGGCGGAGCTAGGCCTCGGGCCTCGCCGCCACCCCCGCCGCCTCGTTGGGGGCTGCCCCCCGCCGCTGGCTCTCCGCCGCCGCCCAACCCCGGCGTGGGGCCCTGTGGTGGAGGCGGCGGGGACGGCTCGGGCCTGCTGGATCCCGGCGTGGCTGAGGCGCGAGGCGGCGGAGGCGGGGGCTGCTGCTCGGGGCCTGGACACAGCAAGAGGCGGCGGCGCGGCGGGCCCGCAGGAGGCCTCGGGGGACCCTCGGGGCCTGGAGGAGGCGGCGGCGGAGGCAACAGCCCCGAGCAGGACGAGGCCGGCGCTGGCTATAACAGCGAGGACGAGTACGAGACGGCCGCCGCTCGCATCGAAAGCATGGACCCGGCCACCGTGGAGCAGGTACCGCCTCAGGAGATGGGGCTCAGTGCCTGCAAGGAGAAGGAGTCGGGCCTTGCGCCCTCCCTGCCTTGTCAAATGAGATTAGTGGCCCCACCAGGCTAAGGGCCCTTCCATGCTGACATATAAAATCCACATTGAACTATTTATTTATTTGTATTGTCGAAGGCTTTCATGGCTGGAATCACTAGGTTCTTGTGGGTTTTTTCGGGCTATAGAGCCATGTTCTAGAGGCATTTCTCCTGACGTTTCGCCTGCATCTATGGCAAGCATCCTCAGAGGTAGTGAGGTCTGTTGGAATTAGGAAAATGGGTTTATATATCTGTGGAATGACTGGGGTGGGGCAAGAGCTCTTCTCTGCTGGAGCTGGGTGTGAATGTTTCAACTGACCACCTTCATTAGCATTTGAAGGCCTGGCTGAGCCTGGGGGAATCTTTTAATTCCAACAGACCTCACTACCTCTGAGGATGCTTGCCATAGATGCAGGCGAAACGTCAGGAGAAATGCCTCTAGAACATGGCTCTATAGCCCGAAAAAACCCACAAGAACCTATTTATTTATTTATTTTGGGCACTTCTACCCCGCCCAAGCATGTAGCCAGGGGGGAGGGGGGCTTGAGGGGCTTCAGCCCCCACAAATTCTCATGGTGGTCTGCGAGAAGGCCTTACTGGTACATTATTTAAACTGTTATGTTTATTCATATCATGATCTGATCACCATGCTCAATATATCCCATATGCATGGGGGTATTGGGGTAACGATACAAAAGGTTTGCTAGGGTAGACCCTCCTTCACTCAGACTCAGCCCCCCCCCCATCAAACTCAGCCCCCCCCAATGAAAATCCTGGCTACGGGCCTGTCATCAGGTGACATGAACTCAGGCATATGTTGAATTTTACAGCAATATGAATGCTGCTGGAACACCACACAACACTCCAATGTGAGAGATACTACTACTGCAAGTCGCTTCATAGTACTGATGCACACAATACTACAAAGGGCCCTTCCACACAGTCATATAACCTAGAATAGCAAGGCAGAATAATCCAGCCCCCAATCAAACTCAGCACCCCCGAATCAAACTCAGCCCCCTCGAATCAAACTCAGCCCCCGAATCAAACTCAGCCCCCGAATCAAACTCAGCCCCAATCAAACTCAGCCCCCCGAATCAAACTCAGCCCCCACGAATCAAACTCAGCCCCCCGAATCAAACTCCAGCCCCCAATCAAACTCAGCCCCCCTGAATCAAACTCAGCCCCCCCCCCCCCCGAACAAACTCACCCCCCGAATCAAACTTAGCCCCCCGAATCAAAATCCTGGCTACGGGCCTGACCCCGCCCTTCTCAACCCCCTAGGGGGGACTCAGGGCGGCTTACAACCGGCACAATTCGATGCCAACAGTTCAACAGATTAAATACATAGCAACAATAACCACAATAGTTAAAACATTCAATTAAAACAATAACAACTAAAAAGCCAATCTAGTGGCCAATGTTCACCAAATTATAAAATCCGTCATAGTCCTTTCCAAATTCTGGTCGTCATCACCTTGTCAGTCTGCCAGATTACCCAAAGGCCTGGTCCCATATCCATGTTTTCAGCTTCCTTCTGAAGGAGAGGAGGGATGTTCATGGCCTAATTTCCCCGAGGAGTGAGTTCCACAGGCGAGGGGCCACCACTGGGAAGGCCCTGTCCCTCATCCCTACCAGCCTCACTTGTGATAGAGGCGAGGCTGAGAGCAGGGCCTCCCCCGAAGATCTTAAACTCCGAGGTGGGACATAGAAGGAGATACGTTCGGACAGGTAAACTGAGCCGGAACCCTGTAGGGGGATTATATGGCAGTGTGCACTCATAATCCCTGTTCAGAGCAGATTTTGTTGGATTTCCTGCTTTAATATTCCAGGTTATATGGCTGTGTGGAAGAGCCCTTAGACCCCTTCCACACTACCATATCAAATCCACATTGAACTGGATTATATGGCAGTGTGGACTCATAATCCCTGTTCAGAGCAGATTTTGTGGGATTTTTTGCTTTAATATTCCAGGTTATATGGCTGTGTGGAAGGGCCCTCAGACCTCTTTCACACTGCCATATAAAATCCATGTTGAATTATATTATATGGCAGTGTGGACTCATAATCCTGTTCAGAGCAGATTTTGTGGGATTTTCTGCTTTAATATTCTGGGTTATATGGCTATATGGAAGGGCCCTCAGATCCCTTCCATGCTGCCATATAAAATCCACATTGAACTGGATTATATGGTAGTGTGCACTCAGATCATCCAGTTCAAAGCAGATATTGTGGGTTTATTTATTTATTTATCGTGTCAGGGGCAGACCAAACAGTTTGTATTGCATTTTTAACAAACCAAACAAACAAAACACAAAGTTTGCAAGCTTGGTAGTTGATTAAATGTCCTTTGACCAGTAGTTGGCCACTTGGAGTGCCTCTGGTGTTGCCGCAAGGAGGTCCTCCATTGTGCATGTGGCAGGGCTCAGGTTGCATTGCAGCAGGTGGTCTGTAGTTGCTCTTCTCCACACTCGCATGTCGTGGATTCCACTTTGTAGCCCCATTTCTTAAGGTTGGCTCTGCATCTCGTGGTGCCAGAGCGCAATCTGTTCAGCGCCTTCCAAGTCACCCAGTTTCTGTGTGCCCAGGGGGGAGTCTCTCATTTGGTATCAGCCATTGGTTGAGGTTCTGGGTTTGAGCCTGCCACTTTTGGACTCTCGCTTGCTGAGGTGTTCCAGCAAGTGTCTCTGTAGATCTTAGAAAACTATTTCTTGATTTAAGTCATTGACGTGCTGGTTGATTGTGGATTATATTCTTGGATAATCTGGCCTACAATAGAGTTTCGCTTATTCAGCCTTCGCTTATCCAACGTTCTGTATTATCCTCTGTATTATCCAATGCAGTCTGCCTCCTGCCTGAATCCACAGCTGTTTTAATACATTGTGATGTTTTGGTGCTAAATTCTTAAATACAGTAATACCGTGTATTGAACTTTTTTTCTGACGATTTGTTGCAAAACATGATGTTTTGGTGCTTAATTTCTAAAATCATAATATAATTTGACATTTAATAGGCATTTTCTTAATCTCTCTTTATTATCAAACATTTTTGCTTATTCAATGTTCTGCCGGCCCATTTATGTTAGATAAGCAAGACTCTACTGTATATGGCAGTGTAGAAGGGACCATAGAGCCCTAGATTTGGAAGAGACCCCAGTGGACATCCAGCCCAATCCCATACTGCCATGCAGGAATACACAAAGCATTTCAGACAAGCCCCTTTCACACAGCTATGTAAAATCCACATTGAACGGGATTGTCTGGCAATGTGGACTTAGATATTCCAATTCAAAGCAGATATTGTGTATTATCTGCTTTCATATTCTTGGTTATGTGGCTGTGTGGAAGGCCCCTGGATGGCCGTCCAATTCTGCTTCAAAACCTCCAGCGAAGGAGACTCCACCACATTCCCAGGCAGCTTATTCCACTGCCAAGCTGCTCTTACCATCAGAAAGCTCTTCCTCATGTTTAGGTGGAACCTCATTTCTCCTAGTTTGAATACAATCAAAGCACTCCTAACAGATGGACATCCATCCTCTGTTTAAAAACTTACAGAAAATGAGACCACACTACACTCATGCGGCATATTCCACTACTGAAACAGCTCTAATAGTCAGGAAGTTTGTTCTAATGTTTACGTGGAATCTCTCTTCTCCTAATTTAAATACAGTCAAAGCACTCCTAACAGATGGACATCCATCCTCTGTTTTAAAACCTCCAGAAAAGGGACAACACCACACTCGAAGAGAGCATATTCCCCTTCAGAACAGCTCAAATCCTCAGGAAGTTTGTCCTAATGTTTAGGTGGTATATCTCTTCTCCTAGTTTGAATATAATCGAAAAAACCCCTAACAGAAGGCCACACAGCCTCTGCTTAAGTACCTTTCTCGTTCATATATTAGTTTAAGAGAAGAAATTAGAATTACTGGAGAGAGACTCCTCGGGTGTACATTTCCTGTTGCTTTGTCACGGCATCCAGGCCAATGGAGATGCATTTGCCCCGAGAACACAGAATAATACTGTATACACGAATAGGCCCTATGGCATGTGATCTCCAGAAGAGGGTCTATGTCAGTGATCCTCAAACTTTATTCCTCCAGGTATTTTGGACTTTAGCTCCCAGAATCTCTTGCCATTGGCCAGAGAGGTTGAGGCTGCAGGGACTTGGTCCAATAAACCTAGAATACCAGAATTTGGAGGTTATTAGTGTATGTGATGCCTTAATTGGGCCAAAATTCCTGTCACTGAAGATTTGGTTAGTTGGCTTGTTTATTAGAAATAAATGTGGCAGAGGTGTGAGGACATGACTGGAGGAGCTTCTCTCCTTTAAAGAACTGGACTGGCTTTGCAATAATCTTTCAGTTTTGCCAGAGGAAATAATATATAGGAACAACAAGAGTCTTGCAGCCAAAGCACTGTCATTATATTTGACTTTTTTGTGGCACCCTTAGAAAAGAGCAAATTGATCAGGCTTATTGTGGTGGCAGAAAATTGGATAGAATGGCTTGCATAATTGTCAAGTTTCTGTATAATAGAGAAATTAAAGGCACCTATAGGTGCTTTCCCTTAATCATTAAAGTGAAGGGCTGTATAGCCCATTTCAAGGAGATCTTGTTTCAGTCCAATGAAAACTCTGGGAGGGTTGGCATAAATCAGTGCCACTGTAGCAACTTAGGGAAAACACTACAGGAAGTAGGCGTGAAGAACAAGATTCTTTGTTGATTTGTCTAACTGGCTAATGAAGGTAATGTTGGATGACCTCATTCTGAAGAAAAATACATCCTGCATAGAACGTGAAGTTGACTTGCATGACCAGAAAAGCGTTGGACACCTGTCTTATTGAGAGAAGGGCAATGGAAATAATTATATTCAGAGCAACGGGGGTGTAGTAGTGTGTCATCTTATGGTGAAAGGGTGAGTAAAAATCCCTCTA